TTAGGTTAATTGGCTTCTCTAAATTCTCCTTAGGTGTGTGTGTGAATGGTTGTTTGTCTCTGTGATGGACTAGTGACCGGTCCAGGGTTGGACCCTGCCTCTCATCCATAGACAGGTGGAGATAGACAGCAGCACCCCTCACCACCCCAGCTGGGATAAAGCATGTCAGAAAAAAAGGAATGGATAGATAAAATGCACTTGAAATAAGAAAATGCAATAATTTTTTCTTAGTTTAAATGTAAATCGCCTTGTTCCATTGGAAAATTAATTATTTAGATTTAAAAAAATTTACAGTTTGTTGCACATACAACAGAAACATGTCAACTTTATCTAAACCCAAACCATATGTTGTGCTCATCCAGAGCGACTATCCCTCACTAAGGCACATTAGTGCTTAAATAGTGAATGGCCTGTACTTATATAGCACTTTGGTCAAGTCAGAGGACTTGACCAAAGTGCTTCAAACAACATTCAGTCATTCACACACTCATGGTGAGCTACATTGTAGCCACAGCTGCACTGGTGCTCACTGACAGAATCGAGACTGCCATACACTGGTGGCACCAGTCCCTCTGACCACCATCAGTAGGCAATGCAAGTGAAGTGTCTTTTCCAAGGAAACAACGCCACTGCCGCTAGGTTGTTGATCACAACCTAGAGTCTGAATGAAAGATTCAAACAGTTTCACAGCGCTACCATTAAAGTCTTGGGAAGCGGCTGTTCCAACCGTTGCATTTCCGAATTCTCCTGAGTGGTGCCCGACTTTACACGAGTGAATAAGATGAATGTGATTGGTCGATTATCAAGGGGGCGGGATTGTTTGGCGGAAGGTTTGCAGGCTAGTTTGATTGTGGCCGGTTAGTCTGAAGCATCTTGCTAACCAGTTAGCAACTTAGTGCTAGCAGGTTCCCAATGGGAAATTCCATTGGGACCAAGTAGCACTAAATTGGTGACTTAGAAACAACGCTGTCAAGGAACGCTATGGACAGAGGAAACACGCAAGAGGAGGAGAGTTTAGTGTCGGGGGTCGTGGATGAGTCTCCTCCGTCATCCATTTTTTATTTAGAGGAGGAAAGCGGGGACGAAGATGTTGTGGAAGAGGACGCCAGGGCGGCAGAAGCTTGGTTTGGTGTAGAAGGCTTCCAGCCGTCCATGTTTGAGCCCTTGCCTCGCAACGCTGCCAGTTCTGTTAGCTCTACGCCTGCTGAAGACACAGACGTCCATCCCCGTGAACACTGGGACGCAACTCACTGGGAAACGAAAGGATTCTGATTTCAACCGTTGCGTATATTAGCTGCGACATATCAATCAAGATGCTATGACTGAAAAAATTTGATTGACAGATGACCCATTGGCCGAATTTAGGTGTTCAAGCTGATGTATAACTAACTGACCTGCATAAGACAATGAAAAAAAAAACACGGATTTTAAGACGGGATTTTTTTTTTTTTTATAGAAATGTTCTAAATTTTGGGACAATATTGTCTGATAAAGAGTACATTTATATACATGTTTAAGGCAGAAGACATTTAAATATGACTTCCCTATGACTTTAAACAAATGACCAAACACTTCTTTAGATCAACTCCAAACCACTCACCCCATTATCATTCCATCATGCTAATTACAACATGGGTTCAGATAAAATACTCCAGAGGTGAGGCGGGTAATGTCGTATGAGAGGGATGGATGCTTCATGCATGCTGCAGGTTAAGTCCACTGAAGCCACACTAGAAGGAACTGTTGATTTTCCATTACATAGAGAGAGTCTTTACCAGAGGCAGAGGTCCCAGAGGGATCCGCTGTCACTGATTCATTCCTACCCCACACTGCTCCACTGCTCCCCGAAGGGGATGGGTTAAATGCAGTGAGTGGATTTCATTGCTCTGTAGTTGTGACAGTGGAATGATAACAAAATGCTGGGGAAAAAATGAATGAGTATTTTTACTCTTAAAACAAGATAACTGGATAATATGCATTTGAAATGAGACAATGGAATAGTTTTTTCTCATTTTTTATGTAAACTCTGTTGTTCCAAGTGTCTCACTCACCTCCTCTATTCAAGAAAAAATTCACTTATTTATGTTTGTGTTTTTTGCCTTGCGACAGTAACACTGGAGACCACCTAAATGCTGTTTTGGTTTGGTTTTTAATTACTGAACCAAATGTTATTTCTGTATACAGACATCTAGACATTTGTGCAGCCCTGCTCTGTTTTAATCCAGTCAATTAAACGCAGCCATTGTTCTGTTTTCAGAGGACTGCAGCCAAAAACTACATTAGAGAGCAGCCCCTGATGGGATCCTGACTGTTAGCCCGTCATTAATCACAGCATGCCCTGCCTAGCTACGCACACAGGAACACACACATTTCACAGAGCTGTGAAGTTAATCGAGAGATAATGTGAAACGTGTTTCCTTAAGTAACACCCACAGTGTGCGCAGAGTTAAAAGGAAGCCATCAAAGGAACAATAGCTTTTAAGACGCTGCATTTTTACATGTGTGCTGCCAGTAGGAACACCTCCGGTAGAGACGGAGGAGTCTGCCCCGACCCTGAAGGGACCGAGTGGCTCAGAGGCCACAAAGGATCCCGTTTTAGTCTAAAGACTGTTACAATAAACTTCATGCCTGAATTCAGGTGTGTTTTCATCATAAGAACTTCTTCCAGAAACAAGGCTAGTTTTCTGAGATCCACTCCCACCTCGCCCCCACCCTCTCTGTGCTTTTTCTGCATTGACCAGTTAGAAGTAATGACTGGTGTAGAAGTTTACTGCAGACAAAGAACCTGACAGGGAGGCGCAACATTTCATCCAGGAACGCTGGGATGAGGGAGGATTCTAACATTTCAAACATTATGATTTAGTTGATATAACTTATAGATTTTTAGCTTTCAGTTGTTAAAGGTAAGCTCTGTTTTTACACCTCGAAGCTTTCTCACCTAACCCTTTAAATAACACTTCATAATGATTATGTATTAAATAACCAGGAGACATGAAAACAGATTCTGATAAAAATTCTAATGTTGCTTAAAAGTCAGCTGCTTATCAACTGGGCTCACGTCTCGTGAAGTGACCCCGAATCGCAAGTTAAGAAGCATTTTATGCAACGCCACATCATCACATCATACATGTTTGTAAATGAGGAGACATCCATGGCTCCAGCCTTACCGAAATATTCCACTTTGTTCTTAGATCAAGGACGCGGCTCTCATTCCATCTCCAAATCTTTGCCACTTGCATAAGGAAGGTGATAACTGTATAGAGACAGTTCCCCTGTCTCTATACAGTTTATAGAGAGTCTATCTAGTGTCTAACTAGATAAACTACTGGGGAAACATCAGTTCTGACATGCAACAAGCAGCTAATATTAGGGTTTAACACGCTCACAGGAAGTCAGATTGACTTCATGTGACTCCGCCTCCGATGTGACCCTCTGCTGAAATGTCTGTCTCATGTTACGCGTTTTTCTTGTGCTGAGGTTTTTTTTTATATTTCAAACTATCCTGTCAAGGATAAAGAGTCAAATATTCTTTTTTTCTTGTCTCTCTCCCCAGTGTGGCTCCTATCTTTCCACAGAGATAAAGGCAGCGCTATAGGGACGCCATACGAATGCGCCAAAGGCAGCGTTCTGCGGCACGCATGGCCTCAGTAGAACCATCCCCCCTCTCAGCCCCCCCCCCCCATCCCACCCCAATGCATGTGATGAACGGTTTGTACTGAAACTGAAATCTCAATTGCAATGTAAATTGTAGTTGACAATAAAGTTGATTGATTCAACACTCCCCCATCATAATCCTAATGCAGTGAAACAGAGTTTACTAAATTTAGCCACCAGTAACAGAGAACTTCATTCTTCTTTCAAAGCACTACTATGATTAAAGCATTTGTTTAATTAAGGCCCAAAGTATGGAGCTTAAAGCCTCCTCTGGTTGTGAATGTATCATAAAATGGGACAGATAGACCCAGTATTCAAGGTGAGACAGCCAGTAAGAAAGTTCAAAATGTTTATTAATATAACAGAACTGGACAGGACAAAGGCGCGGGGCTGAGAGCTGAAGGCTCACGGCGACTGCAGGAGGGGGGCAGGTTGTCTCAGGTTGTGGGAGAAACACAGGTCAGTGACCACGATCATCTGACAGGAGATGATTATCAGAGTGAGTCACTTACGTGGTTTAACAATTCAGTCCAAACCCTGAAAGAGGTGCAATCCAGCCGCTGGACTGCCAACTGAAGCGGCGCGCATCACATAGAGTGTCGCCAGTGCTGCAGCATCGGAGGACTTGCAGGAAGCTTATCACAGCAGGCAGGAATAGTGCATGAAACCCTGATGATCTCTGCACGATCAAAGGTTCCGACCCAAACAGGAAGAGAGTCATCTGGGCTTCCAAGAATCCTCAGAGCGCTCGGGCAGGTTCAGAATCCAGAGTCAGATGGAGTCCAGAGGCGTGACCAGACAGACACGAACAGATGCAGAACAGACTCAGATGCACACGGGCAGGCTCAGTGGTCAGGGTAACAGAGACAGGACGTCAAAACCAGGATGAGCAGGACTGTAAACTGGTCTCCTCCTTGGAGCCAGGCTTACGGGGATAAAACTGATCCTCCCTGCATTCTGAGCCAAAACGCTGAGGACTCCGCGGGGAAGGATCAGGACACGATCAGGAGATGAGCTAGACACAAAACCCACTTTCCTCTGGCCGCCAGGAACCAGGATGTAAACAAGGAATAACTAGAACACACTGGACAGACTAATAGAAAACAAATAATGATCGCTCGGGCTGAACCGAATATCAGACAACAGACGCAGGTGGATAAGATGAGTGATTATTAGAAAATCTGGCAGTTAGGCAGGTGAGTGAAATGAACAATTAATGTGAGCAATCGGGCCAGATCATGACAAAATGGTCTTTCTTTAAGAACAAAGAGGTTTAAAGTTAAAATAATGTAAATTCATGAAGACATTGATTGTACTGCATGCCATGGTGAAAGAGGGATGCTTACTCTGGCAGGGATCGTCTGATGATGCTGTGGACTTGTCTGTAAATGTCCAGTTTGGACAGACAGCTGCACTGGGTGTGGTTGGCCACGCTGATGGTGACAGGTTTGGTGCCCTGGGTCAGCGGCACTGTGATCTCAAAAAGCTGCAGAGAAGCAAAGAGACGGGACAGAGATCAGCGAGGTGAAAAAGGGCTGAACAGGACTGGATGAAGGTCATCACTGCTGCTATCATTTCAACTTTGAACTAGCATTGGGTGGCCATTTCAGGGCTGTAGAGAGCTGCACCACTAGTCAAACATCGACAGAATTAAAAAAGAAAGAGTGAAAAATAACTAATAAATGTTAGGAATTTAGATGTGCAAGAAAAACACACTTTAGTGGTTACAAGCAGTATTACAACAAAATAAACACAATATTGTCAACATTGAGAAATCCCACCATTCAGAGAGTGTTTATTATAGCTTGTTCTTGGGTGATAAAAGTCTGAAAATAACAGATAGACCAATGTGTTTCGGTCTGTTTCAGTCTAACCTAAGGTTTTTGACAAGCTATTTAAAAATAACCCCAGGGAAGTTAGGTTTGATGTTGTTAGGTGTTGAGGAGAATCAGCAACAATTACAGAAAATGGTGTAACACCAGACGCTTGATCACCTGAAATAACCTAAAATAACTTAAAATAAGGACACGTGATGTGGATTTGTAATGGTTATAAAAGTTTTATTCTTAAAGGTAGGAGTACTGGGGCTGTGGCTTTAAGCAAGCACGATGACATGGGAGGTCTCCAGCATGCAGCCATCTTCCATTAGACAACAGACAGGGGTCCGTTTCATGAAGCAGGTTTAACAAAACCAGATTCAAATCTACAACTGTAAAATGATTTAGCCAAAATTCAGGAACTTTGAGTATTTCAGTTTCACAATGACTGCTATGAATTAGTTCAATCAACTCTAATTAGGTCAGTTCAGAGTTTAACACGTCAGTAGCAAATATGAAAAGCCATTATCAGTGGAGTCCCGAATCTACAAGTCACCATGACAACAGGCAACAGGAATTGCTTATTTCACCTCAATGGAACTGGAAATTTGAATGAAATTAAAAAATGTGTTTAAAGGGCAGAGAAACAGCGCTACAGCTGCAGAGGAGAGGAATATGGCGAATGAGAAGATTGTTGCTCCAATTAATACGTAAGTTTATATGAAGTTAACTATGGCAGGCTGATTTGACATTTATTAAAAGCACTCTCCTATGTTGTTCCATTTGTAGAACACTAAAATGAGATTATTCCTGATCAAAATCACACTCCTAGACTGACCTGGAATAACATATTTTCTAAATTACTTTTTTTGCAGCAGAAACTAAATTTCAGAAAGTAAAACCCCAGAAAATGATTCTTGTAAGAATTAGGCTTTATATACCTAGAAAGCAAGAATGAGAAATCTCCTGTCCAGGGGTGATGCTGAGAAACTAGTCCATGCATTTGTTACTTCAAGGCTGGACTATTGTAATTCTTTACTATCAGGAAGTCCACAAACTGTAGTTAAAAGCCTTCAGCTGATCCAAAATGCTGCAGCCAGAGTTCTGATGAAAATGAAAAAGAGAGATCATATCTCTCCTATCCTGGCTTCTCTTCATTGGCTTCCTGTTAAATCCAGAATAGAATTTAAAATCCTCCTTCTCACATATAAAGCCTTAAATGGCCAAGCTCCATCTGATATCAGAGATCTGATTGTTCCTTATGTTCCTAACAGAGCACTTGGCTCTCAATCTGCAGGTTTACTAGTGGTTCCTAGAATTTCTGAAAGTAGAATGGGAGGCAGATAACCTGAGCCACTCTTCTAGTTAGAGTGGCTCAGGTTATCCTGAGCTATCTCTATAGTTATACTGCTATGGGCTTAGACTGCTGGAGGACATAGGGACCCCTATTTCATCATTCTATCTCCAGTCTCCCACTCTGCAGAATCATTTGTCAATCTATTCTATCCAGAATCTTCAAGTGGAAAAGTTGAGTTTCACCTGGTTTGAATTCTCTGAAATATCTTATTGAAGGAACCTAACCAATCAATTAATAATATGATCATTAATCGATTAATCAAAACAATAATAAACAGTTAGCAAAATAGTGGTAAGTTGCAGACCTAATTATGACATATGTATGATACATTTTTAAATATGTTGTGTGTGGAAATGTTCTTAAATTAGTACGATCTTATATGGTCGGCTGTGTAGGTTTTTCTATCACTGCAGTGAAAGGACCTGAGAAGCAGACAGACAGAGACAGCGCTCGAGGAGCTGGGGAGGGCAGTGGATACGCTTGAACAACTTGGATAACTGTTCAAAACAGGAGATTTTATTAAGAAATAGGAGTTTTTCCAAATGTTTTGGTTTGAATCATTTCCTTTTGTACACTAGTTCTCCAGCCTGTAAGAAGACCCGCCCACTCAAGACACCAGCTGAGTCTCAGGTAGACGAGGGGCTGTTATTGTTCCTCACCTATAAATACATTACGGAACAGTGGAAGGTACAGTTTTAGACAACCCAATTTATTAACTGTAAAATATGCTGGATGTATTCCATCTTATTTCAGGGTTCCCACCAGGATTAATGAGAGGTGGATAAAGATTTTTTTTTCTTTTTACTTATAAACAGAAACACAAAAACTATGCTGGGCAGCTCAGATGAGTGGTATTAAATATCGGCAAATACAGAAATGTGATCAATTAAAAATAAGCTTCCTTCATTTTTTTCTGGCTCTGGTGGCAGATAGCCATCTATGGCTGAACTAATCATCTGATTTGCTCTCAGTGTAGTTCTATAAAATGAAAGAAGTGAGAAACATGGTGGGACATATTGTAATGGGTTCCATTTGTTGTTTTGACCCCATGAAGCGCTACTATGATGTTCTGATGGCTTCAATAAAACCAACAGCTGAAAGGTTTCATACCCTAACAGAAGATGTCTTGTTTGATACATGGGATCAGACCTAAAACAGCTGCAGGTTTAGTAAAGAGCATAAAGATACCGACGTGACAGACCACTCTACTTGAGGTCTATGTAATCCAGATGTAAAAAGCTGTTTGCCAGGTTTGTTCCTGAGATAAAATGCTTTGTTAAGCTTTTATCATCAGCCCAGAAAAATTACCATGCAAGAAAGACTGAGATGTTTATCATTCTTCTCTTTATTTCAAGTTTTAATATAAGGTTTTGATGCAGCCTATTTCAGTTAACAGCCACAAAGTGATGATAGATTAATGAGACGATTTCGGACAATTAAAAAAAGAAACAATAAAAACCCAATAATCTCCATAAAAATGTGTTTCTTCTTAATTGTTGAGATACATACTAAAGCAATATACTAGAATAAACAAATCATTGACAATGAGGGTGGTAGGACCAAGACGAGCACGGCTGATCAGAGGTCAGGGTAAATACTGAGTATTGTAGATATGCATGCCTCCCTTTAAAACTCTTTTGGAATATCACCACATGAATGTATTCAGATCTGGGACCAGATTATTATTTTCTAAGCATGTGAGGATTGCTGAAAACCTAACTGTGACTAGCGACACTGAACGCTCCAAAGACAACGACTGATGCAGGCTGTTTACCCCAGTATAAATCCTGCTGTTTAAAAACACTTTTCTAGAAGTTAGTGAATCAACTTCAGCTTTTTACTCCAGTAAAAGTCCAATTTTTAAAACTACTAACTTAAAAGTCAAAGTAATGCAGGATAATGTTAAGGCCAGAAGTTTTACTGCACTACCCTATCAAAGGAACAATTGTCTACAATTCTGGATAATAACTTCCTTATATGTCATTTTTTTTGCCCAGTTTTATAACTAATGGGAGCAGTGTCAAAGTTAACTTTGCATCATCTTGAAAAACTATTCATTTTGGTATTTGGTGAGCAACAAGTTGGGGCAGCACTGAACCCAAACAAAGAAATTAATTGTCTGGACTAAACTAATTATTTTGATGGTATTATTTTTCTTAAACACCAACAGGCCATAATGAAAATGAGGTTAAAAGAAAAAAAACTAATGTTAGGAATCCAGTGTGTGGACTGTTTGTTTTTTGTGTTCTCTCTGTCCAACACCAGGCGGCGCCCTGTTCTCGTTGGTCCTCCCACACACCTGCGGCTGGTTGTGCCCATTACTGAGGATTATTTAGCGGTGGACTGCCACTACCTCGACGCCAGAGTGTTTGCCAGTTTTAGGTACTCTGGCCAAGCTGAGTTTAGCTGAGTCAAACTGAGTCTTTGTCTCTCTGAGTTCTAACCTTGTTTTTGTCTTTGCCTTTTCAGCAGAAAGTCATCCCGCAAACTGGATTTTTGGCCTTCTCCCCCTGGAAGGATTGTTTTGAGCTTCACACTGAGCAGGGGATTAATCTCCACACGACCCGTTCAAGTTCTCCTGGAAATCTAAGTGGCAGTCCGCTCCATTGCTCCTCAAGGAACCAATAAAACCAAAAACCTGTCTGCCCTCCAACGAGCCCCCCAATCTCTAGATAAACCCACAGCGACTGGATTCTGGGAAGAGAACCTTTTTCTGGTAACGTGAGTCCCGTTCATCTCTGATTTTTGCAAGACGTTGTTCAAAGTTCCCACGGACCCTGAACTAACCTCTGAACTTCCCTTCTTGCTTCCATTTCGCCAGCTCTCTGACTTACCCTGGATCAACCTTATTGATTATTTTAATAAACCTGTTAAACTTTTACTCTGGTTCTCTGAGTGGTTTCCTGCTTGTGGGTCAGATCTCTTAAAAACATCATGGCAACTAATGCGTGTATTTTTAAAATATAAGAAGTAGAATGTAAAGATAATTGTAAAAAAAATGTTAGGAGTACAAGTAAAAATTTAAAATCACTCCAGTAAAGTACAGATTGCCAACATTTCTACCAAAGAAAGGTAAAGAAGTATTTGTACTTTGTTACTTGACACCGCTGCTTCTTTTTGGCCCATTGACTGCAGAGTTTTGTGGAAAGAGAGAGATGCAGCTCGCTCAAAGATCCATGCCAGCATATGGAAGTCAGCACTTTTTCACACAAAGGTTACAGCAAAGTCCCGCAGAAATGGACTCCAGAAACACAAGCTTCCAAGGCCAGGAAAAAAGCTAAATACTATGGCAAAACATTTATATTATTGTAG